GTTCACAACAAGTTTGTGTCCTCCTGAATGTTTGTATGTGTGCGCAGTGCGATCTCCGATCTCACAAACCAAAATAATAGACATGATTTTCTCAGGCCACATGTAAAATCATATGAATTATTATAAAAATTATTAAAATGAATCTGTATGGATGACAGTTGATTACAATAGTTCAGTTTATTCCCCTCATCATTAATAGTTTCCCCTGTGGGATAAATAAAGTTAATAGTCCTATATTAATAATACTTATTAACATTGTTATATATGATCCCTTTTATAGTATTATGCATGTCAAAAATCAACGTTTTTTTTTTTTTTACCATGTTTCAAGTTTTCTGCCTCAGTTCCAAAAGAGATGTAAAGAATGTACAAACTGAAAACACTAAATACTTTTGTGATCTATTTTCATTAGTTATTTTCAAAAGGGAAATATTGACATGGATGTTTATAGAGCAGAGGTCACCTTTTAATTCCAATTGGAGAGATAGACATTTGTTTGTCTTTATTATTATTATTATTTTGTGCTGTATTATTGGTTACTGTTATTTATGTTTCTAAAGGCAGCAATAAATAACACTTTATTATCTAAAGTGTCCATGTGAATTTATAAAAAAATTTTGTGAAATGAATAAATGCATAATAATAGTCATAATCGTGAAATCGTGATTATTCCTCAGACAATAATCGTACCAACAAAATCTATAATCATTGCATCCCTAATTTCAAGTAACAACAATTTTTTTTGTTTGTTTACGTTTTAAAGCAGGGTTATTATAGTTAACTAAAACATGTTCTTAGTTTTACTTTGCCCAATCCATCAATCCACATTATTCCAAAGAGTGAAAAAAAAAATCATGTTTGCATGATTTCTTTTCTGTCTTTTCCCCCTTTTCTACTGTTTGAAGGACTGGTATGACGACTGATATTACAGACCTTGCAAAAGAGGTGTATGGTGTGTTGAGTCCTCGAACACAAAGACCGGCTTGTCAGACTCCAGAGCAACAGAAGAGGAAGAACAAACCCCAGTTCTTCATCAACAGCTCCAACAAGAAAGCAAAATCAGTTACCCTCCATATACAAGGCTTGGATGGGGCAGTATGTACCATAACAAAGCTTTCACACATGCACTTGGTTGATCTTAACTGGGTTTTTCTCATATTTATGCAGATTACAGAGTAAAATCAGATGTTGCCTTGTGTTGACAGGATCAGAGAGGTGTGTGTGAGGAGGCCCTTTTGAGAGTCAAAGGAGTAATCAGCTTCACCTTCCAGATGGCTCTGAAGAGATGCACTGTACGCATCCGTGCCGACCTGCCCATTGAGGTACACAATATTCCTCTTTCTGTAAGGGGAGAGGCAACTAATAAAAGCAGATTTGTTTTCATGAAATACTAAAAGCAAATATCTTTTGTTTAGAGTCTGGCCACTGCCATTGCTGCCACAAAAGTGCTTTCAGCTAAGCAGGTCTTGAAAAATGAAAATGGAGAAGAGGTGGGTGTTTCTGTTGCTTTTAAGTATGTATTTGAATGTTTTACAGTAATATTTGATATGCTGTTTCAGTAGTTTTATGACCCATAAACTTTCTGTTATTTATTTACATGGCTGTGCTATGGTTACAGGTTCTCATTCCACTCAGCACCTCTGGCTCAAAGGTAGAAGAGAATTCCCACCTGCCTGATTACCTGCCAGAGGATGAGAGTCCGGAGAAAGAGCTAGACCGTGCAGTGTCCCGTACTGGTGCCAAACAAGACACCGGTGGCAGCTGGCTGAACACAGCAGCCAGTTTCCTCACTAAAACCTTCTACTGGTAAAGCTCGAGTTTCACAGACTTTTCCTGGCTGAGTTTGGACCTCCACATTTTTAAGACAGATCAGCCTAGAGAGCAAGTTGCACCACTATTGGAGCATAAAGCAGCTGACAAATGTGCTTTATCAAGCTACTAAAGGTGTTGTTCAATTTATGAGCAAATGTGTGAGATCTCCGCCACGTCACAACTCTGTATTGATATATAGATAGATGTTGAGTTCATGTTGTAAATGTATATATGTTTATGAAAACGTCTTTCCTCCCTCTCAGGATCCAAAATTTCCTGTTTCTGCTGTCAAGTTTATCTGTTGTATCATCTCTCCTCCTGATTTCTTGTAAATATTTCCATTTTGGTTTCTTATAAGGGGAAAGTATCTCTCTTGAGTCTCATCTAACAATGGAAACAACTGAAAGACAGATTAAATGTTTAATGCTGTTTTGTGTAAAATAAAGGTTTGGAAGGAAGAAGTCGGTACTGATTTTTGTGATGACATTATGTAAATTTAAGTGTTCAAAATATGTTGAATATGTTCAAAATATGCTTTCATGTTGAAAAAGGTGAGTGAATACAGATGCCCACACCAAATAACTTTGTCTTTTAATTAGAGCTGCAGTCCGTAGCTTTTTTTTTTTGGTTAAGAATTATCCGAAATCAGTTTTTGAGCAAGTACATGACCAGCCAGTGTTCAAAACTATCGCCTTACTTTAGCCCGATTCACAACGGTAAGCTTATAATAATGTTTTCTAATTTGAGAGGTACGGGTAGGTTTTCGCGGGAAATCGAGCATGACACTGCGTCATTACGTCACATCTGTAAACATGAAGTTGTCCCAGCTACTAGGCTATCGCATGTGAGGATCCTGCAGGTGGCTGATCGTTTATAGCCTTTTCTCACAGCAGCTAGAATAATTCATTTTATAATTTTGATGGCGGATTGTAATCCAGAAAGGATTATGTGTTTATGAAACGCATGTGAATTAAATTAAATTAAATTCCAGTTTTAAATGTGCTTCTGATTACAGATAGCCTGGGATTACACAAGATCTATATTTAAAAAAAAGACCGGTTCGAAGGGAGCATAATTTGCTTTTTGGGTTAAAAGAATTTCTTAATATGAAATTTGAATCGTATGATAATTAGTTTAGACTGTACAGAAACTGAAATCACACGCTGATACACACTATACACATAGTCACGCAATGCTGATGTTGTGTACATTAAGAATTTGAGAATAAAGTTTAACAATAATAATTTGCACGGTTTGATGTGATATGAGCTAACCGATTGTTACACTTAATCACCATTGGTAGCGAGATTTATGGTAATGCTTTTTTCCTCAGTTGGTCAGAACAAACGTGGCAGACTTGTTACTTACTTGTTCAGATGGCAATATATGGTGAAAATGCTTATTTGGGTCATATTCCAAGACGGAGGCTAGAATCTGTGATTGCGAAGTACAGTAAATATCCACACCGGTGGACTGACTGACTGCCACACATACTCCTCAAAACATTAGATTCATCGGCGCTGGAGCCGTGCAACCGCACAACCCACGCAAGGAAGATAATTCGCACACTGCTGCAATCCCAGGTTTTCAAACAGAGATGGCGACAAAGAGGCAAAACTTACGGACTGCAGCTTTAAGTTGTATTATGGTTTATTGATACAAACAAAAAAGTTTTACATGATTTTAAACAAATTTTCTAAATAAATGAATGACAAATAAATATACATATAAAAATCAGTGTGTAACTTAAGGTTTTACATTATAAATGTCTTACCACACATTAAAAAATAAAGATAGCATTAATTTAAACTACATAGCCAATTAAATTTATGCAAACAACCTTCCTGATTGCTTTAGAGCTACATCTTGTAATGACACAGTGTTTGCATAGTGCAGTGGAAATAGTGTGTTAATGACCTTTACAGTTAAGAGGTTCTGAGCCTTTTCTTACGAGTTCTAAAAAATAAAAAAAAACATGCATTGCACACCTTGGCCCATCTTTTGAAAACAACAGCAGTGCATCAGTCAACTAGTAACTCTACATAGTACATATTAGTATCAAATGGAAAGCATGGCTTTGTATAACCAACACTATTGCAGTGCAATTGAATTATCTGCTCAGTAATTCGTACTAGAATATAATAGTGTAATATAAATGTAAAAATAAAACATCTGAAAGCATCATATAAATTACCAACATGAAGAAGTGCAGTCATCAGTGGTAAGGTATGGCAGCATTCTGCTACACTTTCATCAAATGTTGATGTGTGCTGTGGTACAAACAGGCCTGATTTTAATACAAGCTGGAAAGACAAAAGAAAAGGTTTATCAAACACATTATTACATAAAGCTCAACACATGCAAATATACAATTTGAGTGTTTTGTAAGACACACTGTTGCTATAATGCTGTTTCAGGAGTTTATAACTACTGCAAATATCACAACAGGAACTACTTACATAAGTTTCTCTAGCTTACAGTCTGGATCATCTAGCAAGACTGATAGTGGCCTCACGGCTGAATCTGTAAGTTTGTTTTCAGTCAGGTCTAGCTCTCTTAAAAGTGAGTGCTTAGATCTCAGTGCAGAGGCTAAAATTGTGCAACCTTCCCCTGTGACCCCACAGTTAGACAGCCTATACAGAAAAACATTAGTGACATATAAACAAAACTTCTCTGAAAGCAACTTTGAAAGTTGTAGATATAGCATTACCCTAAAGAGTCCAACTGACAATGTGGATTTTCCAGTCCAGCACAGAGGATTTCAATTCCCAGATCTTGTAGATTATTTACTCCTAAATTCAGTTCTCTAAGACTTGAGGATTTTTCTTCAAGAGTTGCAGCCAGTGAATCACAGCAGGCCATGGTTAAACCACACTGACTCAAACTAGGGAAAATAATGATATAGTGGCATTTTACTTAACATTTGTATAAGTTTATAAGAAGTATCTTTTGCTGGCTGCATTTATTTGATCAAAAGTATGGTATAATCATTAATACAGTAAAAACCGTAATAATGCGAATTATTATAACAGTTTAAAATTAGTTTTCTATTTTAATACATTTTAAAATGTAATTTATTCCTGTGAGGTCAAAGCTGAATTTTCAGTAGCCATTACTCCAGTCTTCAGTGTCACATGATCCTTTAAAAATCATAATAATATGCTAATATTTGCTGCTCAAGAAAAATTTCTTCTTATCAGTGTTAAAAAGACTTTGCTGCTTAATATTTTTTCTGAAAATAATTTTTTCCAGGATTCTTTGCCAGATAGAAAGTTCAAATTATTTGAAATAAACTAAATAAAAAAATAAATAAATAAATAACCATCTGTACTGCCACTTTTGATCAATTTAATACATCCCAATTTGTTAAAAAAAAATCTTAAACAATTATTTATACTTAACATAGTTTATCTGATACATTAGAATGTTAGAATGTTAAATATATATGTACAGAACCTACTCTAATTTCATAATGTTGCTGCTGTGATTCCTCAGGACAGGAGAAAGGAGCCTCATCCCTGCGTCTGTGAGCTCATTACTGCTCAGGTCCAGCTCTCTCAGATACGACGGGTTTGAGTTTAGAGCGGCAGCGAGGACAGCACAACCGTCCTTTGTGACCCCACTGTCTCCTAAACTGTTATGAAAGACATGTGTTCATAAAATGCTCTTGTTGTTGAAACATTTAAAACTAGATTCATAATTTGCTTAAAGGAACACTCCACTATTTTTGAAAATAGGCTCATTTTCCAACTCCCCTAGAGTTAAACAGTTGAGTTTTACCGTTTTCGAATCCATTCAGCCGATAATATGTCACCATTCAGCATCCAAATAAAAGAAAAACCAACTGACATCAATATCACATTATCACTATTTAAACCTTAATCTTAAGTTGAATACAAAGTATGACATTTACAAAAGTCAACAACAGTTAATACACCCAAGACTGAAATTACCTGCATAGCACTATAATGAAAGTCAAAGCTTCAGTTCTACTGCTCACCATAACGTCTCCAGCCTACAGTTGGAAATCTTCACCACTTCAGCGAGTCTTGATACACCAAAATCTTTTATGTGGTTCTGTCTCAGGTCCAGCTCTCTCAGATGAGCTGGGTTAGAAACAAGAGCTGAGGCCAAATCATCAACACCCACCTCTGTGATCTCACACAATGCCAGCCTGAAAAGACAGGATATGCTTCAAGAGTTTGCTGAGGGTAGGATATAAATTTACTGCAGATTTAAAAGCCTTACCTCAAAATCTCTATTTTACAGTGAGGGCTCCCAAGTCCATTTGAGAGCATTTTCACCGCTTCATCATAGATTGTGTTGCCACTCAGATCTAAAGCTTTCAGAGTAGAGACGCTGGACCTCAGAGCCGAAGCCAAAGACTGACAGGATTTCTCAGTGAGCAAACCGTAACTTAGCCTACCGGTTGAAAAATGAACATTTAGGACATTTGGTAAAAAATAATAGTTATGTCTTTGAATTAAGTCTCTTATGCTCACAAATATTAATTTGATCTAAAATACAGGAAAAACAGTAATATTCTGAAACCTTATTACAATTTTTGTAATTAATTTATGTGACGGCAAATTTTCAGCAGCAATTACTCCAGACTTCAGAGCTACATGATTCTTCAGAAATCATTCTAATATAGTGATCTGGTGCTTAAGAAACATTTTTTATTATTATCAATGCTGAAAACAGTTGTGCTGCTTAATATTTTTTTGGAAGACATGCTACATTTTTTCAGGGTTCTTTGACAAATAGAAAGATCAAAAAACAGCATTTATTTGAAATTCATTTTGTTTAACAGTGTAAATGTCTTTGCGTCCTTATGCTTTTATATATATATATATATATGACAATACATTTAATTAAGTAAAAAAAGAGAAAAAAATACCAAAGTGTTTCAAGCTGTGAGAGTGGATGCTGTATTACAGCTGAAAGCTTCTCCACTCCATCATCTCCTGGGTTATTCCAGTGCAGATCGAGCTCTCTTAAGTGTGACGGGTTGGACAGTAGAGCTGAGGCTATTGCAATGCTGCCTTGAGTTGTAACTCTGCAGTCCTTAAGTCTATGAATAATGCAATGACAAGTGATCATGAGGGCCAAACAAATTCCACATTTGGGTATTGATATGTTCTGATGAACTAAAGTGGTTTGAAGAGGTTTAATTCTATTGCAACTGACCTCAATATCTCAAGTTTACAGTGCTGATGCTTCATGTAATTGGCCAAGATCTTAATTCCTGCTTCTCTCAGACTGTTTTCACTCAGGTCCAGCACCCTAAGGTTTGGAAGGTTTGGAAGCAGTCCTGTTTTAAGAACAGAGCAGCCGCGTGTGGTGATTCTGCAGTATGAGAGCCTGAGGAAAGAGTAACACATCACATGATGTGTTATAGTACTAAATATTAATTTACAACTACAATATGGAATCATTTTGTTGAGGAAATTAAAAATAATTAAAATATGCTAAAATGTTTTTTAATGGTGTATGCTTTATTGGGTTTTTCATATTTAGTATTTTCAAAAAAATCAGTAAAAGAGAACACAATAGGCAAAAACATTTTAGATAAACGTCTTCATTTTAGTACCTTGTTTAGGGTTAGTTTAGCATCTTGTTTCCCTCCAAATATTTAATAAAAGCATTAAAATGATCAAAAGTGACAATAAAGACATTTATAATGTTTTAATAAGATTTCTATTTCAAATAAATGAACAGTGACAGACAAGACAGTGACTAAGAACTTTACCTCAGTTCCTCTAAATTACACTGTGTGTTTTCCAGTTCGGCTGTCAGAAGCTCCAGTCCTTTGTCTCCAATGGAGTTACTGCACAGATCTAGCACTCGTACATTAGAAGAGCTAGAGCCTACAGTGGAGGCAAGAGTTCTACAGCATCTCATAGTAAGTCCACAATTATCCAGTCTGGAATATAATGTAGACGTAATAAATAAGAACCAAACACACACATGTGACCTCAATCAACATGAAAAACATCAAAACAAAAACTCACAGCGCAGTTTCTGAAGCTTTGACCACTGGCAACAATCTGGTGAGGCCTTCATCCGATCTGATATACTTCTTCAGGTCAAACACATCCAGCTTCTCTTCTGATGTCAGTAACACAAAAACCAAAGCAGACCACTGTGCAGGGGAAAGTTTAGAAAAATGCCCTGAGTTCAGGAACCTCTGGACCTCCTTGACCAAAGAGAGATCATTGAGTTCATTGAGACAGTAGAAGAGATTTATGGACTTTTCTGGCACGGACGTCTCCTCTATCATTTTCTTGATGTATTCCACGGTTTCCACAATGCTTTGACAGTCTGTGCTACCAGACTGAGAAAGCAAGCCTTGTAAAAGGCTCTGATTGGACTCCAAGGAAAGTCCCAGAAGGAAGCGGAGAAAAAGATCCAGATGTCCATTCTCGCTCTTTAGAGCCTCGTCAATGGCACTCTTATGCAATTCAAAGAAGGTGGTCTCGGTAAGCTCTTGATGCTCTTCATGATCAAGAACATTGCTGTGGTGGACCTTAAACATATAATACACATACATGGCTGCCAAAAACTCCTGAATGCTCAGATGGATGAAGCAGTAGACTTTGTTCTCGGTTAATGCAGATTCCTCTCTGAAGATCTGTGAGCAAACTCCTGAGTACACCACTGCCTCCTTCACATCAATCCCACAGGCCATCAGGTCTTCCTCATAGAATATCAGATTGCCATTTTTCAGTTGTTGGAAGGCTAGCTTACCTAGCTTTAAAATAATTTCTTCATCCTCCGGGCCTGGGTTGTACTCTTTTGTGTATCTCATGTTTTTCGCATGGGATTGGATGAGAAGGAAGTGTGTGTACATTTGAGTAAGAGTCTTGGGGATTTCTTCATCTTCTGCTGTGCTGAACATTCTCTCTAGCACCGTAACGGAGAGCCAACAGAAGACTGGTATATGACACATGATGTACAGACTTCTTGACGACTTTAAGTGCGTGATGATACGACCAGAGAGGTGTTTATCATTGATTCTCTTGTTGAGGTATTCCTCCTTTTGTGGGTCATTAAACCCTCGAACTTCAGTCACCAGGTCGATATACTCAAGAGGGATCTGACTGGCTGCTGCTGGTCGAGATGTTATCCAAATGAGGGCATCAGGAAGCAGATTGTTACTGATGAGATTGGTTAGCAAAACGTCAATAGAATCTGGCAGAGTTGGGTTACTTAACTTTCCGTTATTCTGGAAATCCAAAGGAAAGCGGCATTCATCCAGACCGTCAAAGACAAAGAGAACTTTTTGGTTTTCGTGATTATCTCCAGAGCCCGTTTCCATTTTGAAGTGTTGGAAAAGCTCAATCAAGCTGAAATGTTTCCCTTTCATCAGGTTCAGCTCTCGGAATGGAAGCGGATACACAAACTTGATATCCTGATTAGCGCTGCCCTCAGCCCAATCCAGTATGAATTTCTGCACTGAAACTGTTTTCCCAATGCCTGCAACACCCTTAGTCAGCACACATTTGATGGGTCTGTTTTCTTCAGACGAGTGTTTAAAAATGTCATTGCATTTGACTGGAATGTCCACTGTGGTTTTTCTCCTCAACGCTGTCTCAATCTGTCTCACCTCGTGTTCTTTGTTGACATTCTCACTTTCCCCTTCAGTGATGAAAAGCTCTGTGAAGATGTCGTTCAGGAACGTGGGATGTGATTGTTTGGACATGTCATTGCGAATGCACTGAAATTTGGCTTTCAGTCTTGATTTATATTCTTGTTGGCACTTCATGGCTGAATTGGAATGGACTGTTAATTCAGGAATATTGTTCTTGTGAGACCTGTGAAAATACATTGACAATGAAAGTGTATGACTGGACTCTGATGCAGAATACACTGCTGTCCAAAAATTTGGGGTCAGATAAATTAATAACTTTATTCTGAAAGGCTGCTTTAAATGGATCAGTAAAGGCAGTAAAAACTGACACTGAAGACTGGAGCAATGGATACTTAAAATTCAGCTTTGCCATCACAGGAATAGGAAGTGTAAATTACGAGACATAAAGGGACACAGTTTGTATAAATATCTTACTGTTGCTCAGTGGCAAAGTCTTCAAAATCGAAAGAAATTGGTTCAGTCATTGATGCCTGGCTTTTGTTCGACACATCATTCAGCTTTCTCTGCTTATCAAACCTTCAGAAAAAATATAGGTAGGCTGTATTTATGCATTGCACGCAGCATGTGAACATGAAAAGTCCTTTTAAATTATGTTTTACTTTCAAATGTTCAATATGACTAAGCAGATGTTACATACCTTTGTACTGAAAAAAGAGGTTCTCTTTTCAAATCAATTGGATCCAACATAGAATTAGCACTTTTTAAAGAAGCATGGCTGTGCTGTTTTTGTGAGACTGTCCTTGAATGAGAGACAAAAAATGTTTAGAAATACATTTGCTAACTCATTTATCTCATAAATAATGGAAAAGACATATTACCACACTTTTCTCACCATGGAGTGCTTAAATCTGGCAGATTCATTAAAATGCAGTTGACCTTTTTCTTAAGTTAAACTTAATGTCCAAGGTTTCAACAGCTTTTTTATTTTTCTAGGAAAATGGTCCAAAAATGAAAACAAGATGATTCAGAGAGTGTTATAAAATAAATGTTAAAGGACAGGAAAACCTAGGAACTATAAATACACAAGAACCAATGATTAAACAAGACATGTCTGGACACAGTGAAGGAGTGATTAATGAACAAACACATGACATGGACTAGAAACATTAAATTTCAAAATGTGAACAAAAGAGACAGGAAAAAGATAAGAAAAAACACAGAATGTTAAAGGTACAATACTTATTAATAATCCACTTCAACTTTCAGTAAGAGATTCTTATCAAATCTAAGTATGTATCCAAGTATCTTCAAAAGAATGTATGACATAAAGTATACTGGCATGTGGAGGACTTTCTCTTAATCTATAAATGGTGTGTAATTTCAACATCTATGTTGCAATTTACAAAATACAGCAAAGGAATGAGGAACCACTAAGTTAAGTTGGAGAAGTTAACCAGTTTCGTACATTCATGTGGGTTTTTGTTTGAAACACTTTTTCTGTGGTTTAATTGTGTACACCATTTTATGAGTGACCACACACTGGTGAGGCTGTGATAAGTCCTGTGATTGTTAGCTCTTCAGCATATATACATATATATATATTTAAATGTATACTGTATATATAAGGAGATAAGCATTACTGTATATCCATGTACACTTAATGCCATGTGATTTTGAGAACATCACATGCCAAAAAATCATCACCAGTAGTACTTGCATCATACATCTACATCTCATAGAATAACCGTAACAAAACTGGTTGCCAAATCAGTAAATACACTTTGGATTGATGTGTTATGTATGTAGGTGAGTTTTGCTTTGAAATACGCCATTGTGTAATTATGTTAAAAATGACGACAACAGTAAACACATAGTTTGTAACTAACACACCCAGTTAAAGAATTTGACATTTTTATTGCCACCCTTGTTGTCATTGTCAGTCTAAAGTGGGTGTAATCTACTTAAAGAACGTTTGCCTTCTAATTTCAAGCATTCTGCGCAAGTAACGTTAATAAATGTAATCTAATATTTCATTCAGTTTTGTGAGTAAAAGACAGATAATTAATTCTATGCTACCACCCTTACGAAAAATAAGTTTTTTTTTTATTATTTATGAAACTTACCCACATTCAAGTGTTTATCCCGCGGTTTGGCCTCTTTGAGGACGGCAGATACAGGCGACAGGTCGATACCGGCGCACCGGAGCAGAACCAGAGAGAGAAACCCAGAGATCTGCGCTTCACTTTACTGCCAGAGAGATCTCCATACGAGCCTTTAGTGGAAGACGACAGCCAACACAAACTAAAGGGGAAACATTCCAATATGCTGATTTGGTGCTCAAAATTTCTTATTATTATCAATGTTAAAAATATTTGTCTTTCTAAATATTTTTGTTAACAACTATTAACAAAATATTAACAACTACATTTATTTTGATCAGTTTAATGAGTGATTGATGAATAAAGGTATTAATTTCTTTAAAATAAATATCTTACTGACCCTAAACTTCTAAACAGTAACGTAGCTTTTTTTGTTCTTTTTTCTTTTTTTGCCTCCCCCAAAATAATAAATAGCCTACAGGCCTTTGTTAAACTAACTTTTATTAATTTAAACTAACTAGTATGTATTTTCATGTTATAGGTTATCTAGCAGTGATTTTTTTTTTCATTTTCACTGGTAACTTTCCATTAGTATTTATTCACTGTTTTACTATTGGGATACAGACAATCCCAAGCAGGCTTACTTGTTCATTACTAGTAGGCCTACTTATTATTGGCTAGTATAGTTTGCATTCCGACAGTGACAAGTAACTGTTCCAGTGGTATTGGTAAATTGGTTGTGGTTTGTAATTCTTGTGGCTCCGATATCAACTATTCACTTCTGATTAATTTTATTTGCAGGTGTTGATGTTGATTTTCTGTTGCACAAATTTGAGCATATAGAATAATTCTTCAGATTTGTCAAAATAGTGTTTTCCTGATTTCAAATCTTTCCAACCTTACCATTGAGTTTCAGAATAGTAGTATCCTGTTTATGAGTGAAAGGGTGACATTATACAACAGAAAACTGTCATGTGTTTTTCAGTAATGAAAAGATGCTTTCAAAAACAAAATGTTTTTGCAATAACCAGGACATTTTGATTATGCAATCATACACAGTTCCCACTTCAGTTGATGCTTTTAATATAATAACCATATAAATTGTTATTTTCTGAACAAGCGCATGACTTTTTCTGTGAATTTGCTGACCCAGTGTTGGGTCAAAGATCAACGGTTAACCTGTCTGGTGTCAGACTGTTTCCTTATCAGACTTAGCCAATTAAAACTGATGAGACTGTGAGTAAATGGAGTATCTTTAGTAAACACATCTCACTGTAATCCACGTAATATCTATAGCATCACTGTTTTTTTCCAAAGCATTCACAAGTAACTTGATCAAGTTTGGTGATAATGACCAGCTTTTTCAATAATGCAAAGTAAAAATAGAGGGCTCAACAATAAGAATTTTATGTTGCTGGCCCACTTTGTTCTTGGAATTTCACTGGCCACAACCATAAATAGTAATATTATAATAGTTTTTAGTTTATAGTTAATAGTTTAATTATTATGTTTGAGGCTCAAAACATTTTAAACCATTACAGAAAACCAGCTTTTTATGTTTGCAAAGCATAAAACACATGTATTGAATGTAGATTACATTACATTCAGTGAATTTAGTTCATGTGTTTTTGGCCATATGGAGACCTTTTCTAGTCGACCTGAAATTCAAGTAGGCCTACATAGTCAGAAATTATTTTTTTTTATTTTGGAGGAAGAGTGTCATTCAGATCACATGCAGTGTTCCATTGTCAAGCAGCAGAAATTTCCTCCCACAGGATAAAGCAGTGCATCCTGTTTCTGACCTGTTGTCACTAACATAAAGCCTCTAAACTACATGCTATTTACAGTTTAAAATGATAAAGCCTAGTGTTTAATCCAGCTAAATTGTCTACTTGGAAATCCTTAAGGTATTTAAACCACTCAAAGTCTTAATTCTGTATTGCTGCTGGCACAGGCTGAACCTCCTGGATTTGTGAATGAAGCTGTTTTTCCTCAGTCCAAAAATAGTTTTTTTCCCCAAAGGAACTGTATTGTGTTTCAGTCCAGTTGTTTAAATGATTTTGATTTGCTGCTCAGATTTACCAAATGCCTAAGCACTCTGGAAAAGCAAATGTTCCCTAACAGCCAAATCATTTTGTGTAATTATAATTTTTTTAATAATTCAACTTTTTAAGTTATTTATCTAAAAACAAAACGTAATTGTAAATAATAAAGAATTAAACAATTAAATAAAGTATTAACCAACCTGAATAAAAATTGGAAATTAAAAAAAGCACCAAACGAACAAGGAAAATACAAACCAAGAGATTTTTCCTACCCCAAACCCCCAGAACACAACCCAACAGTGCTATCCAATAGTAAGAGTGGAGAGTATAATAAAAATAAAAATATATAAAAGGGGACCAGATCATTTTTATATAACAAGCATTTGTCATTTTAAAGGTTATTTTAATCAATAAGTACAATTATTGTGTCATGCAATACTTTCTCTATTAATTCCATTTAATTTGATTATTTAATTTATTATATTTATATTTATTTATACAATTTTGGATGTCATGTAAAATGCATTTCTGTAATAAAAGAAAAACAAAGCTACTAATAGTTCACCCAAAAATTAAAATTTGCTCAAATTTACTCCGCCTAAGGCCATCTTAAGAAGAGTTTGTTTCTTCTTTGGAACAGATTTGGACAAATTTAGCATTACATAACTTGCTCATCAATGGATCCTCTGCAGTGAATGGGTGCCGTCAGAATGAGAGTTCAAACAGCTGATAAAAACATCACGATAATCCACAAGTAATCCACACGACTCCAGTCCGCTATCCAGAATATTGCTTTCTCCAGTGAAAAAAAATCACCTCCTCTGAATCAGGAGATAACTATGTGCAAATCAAGGACCATTTACAGGCGAAAAGGGTCCAAAACAGCTCTTAACAAATGTCTGTGGATTTTGATGTGAGAGGACAACAGGGGATGGACTTTTTCACTGGATGAAGTGACAGTTTTAGGAACGTTTTGGCCAGAAGTGACAGTTAAAATGCCTTGCTAGATTTGTGTCTTACAAACGCTCATTCTGATGGCACCCATTCACTGCAGAGGATCCATTGGTGAGCAAGTGATGTAATTTCTCCTAATCTGAAGAAACAATCATCAGCTATCTTGGATGGATTTTCAGCAAATTTCAACAAATCCTTTAGGGCAATACATTTGTTATATATTCAGTATGTGTTTAATTTTTAGCATTCTGTTTGTTTTACAGAACGTAGGAAAGGCTCTTCGCTACAGTTGGAAATGTCTGATGTTGGGTCTGCAGAACTTCACTGTGGGATATTCCACTCCTCTTTCTGCTGCTGCTTCAGTTGTCCCAGATTTCCATCCGGGAGGAGCCTGGGGTTGAGACAGTCTGTGACCAGCATTTGTACTGTATTTGTACCTTTATGGACCATTTAATGCTGCATGTCCAGATGCTTATTAAAAATGGACAATACATCTGCCCTGGGCAGCTTTACCTGTCATGCTGTAAATTGTTCAATTGTTGTAAATATCTTCTCTTTGAATTTGTGTTAAAGTGGAGTTTTCATCTTGCATTAGTGATTTACAGCTATAAGAAAGGCATGGATCTCTTTTTACTCTCAGATCTATCTGTATATATTTTGCTTTGATTGAAAGAATATGAATTTCTGTACTGAAGTAATGAAATATTTTATTATTATTATAGAACTATAGGCTACTGATAGTGTTGATACTGTAATTATTTCATGCATAGCCTGCAATTTTTCTCTTTCACTCTTCAGCAAGTTGCAAGTGATATGGTCACCTGAATTCATGCTGCATAGATGTAATGATGACAAAGGTAAAAGTGATTTAGA